TGGAAGGGGTGGCCATTTTTAAACAATTGCGAGCACTTAATTATTAGAATTTGCACATCTTAATTACTACTCGATTTTCGTGACACACATATATGAATATGAGTAGCTTTATTGTTTGAACCAAGTTTGAAGTCATCTCCCAATATTAGCCATGCACGTTAGGGGCATTGCACCTGGCACAACCATGGCCTTGCATGTGGCAACTCTTGCTCTCATTTTAAGCTTTTCTTTTTTCTTTTATCTATCCTAGGTGCCGCCCTCTTCCATGGTTGTAGCAAAATCTCACGTTGCACACTCATTTCAAATAACCATCATTTTCATATTAAAATCTGAGATGGTCGACAAACGATTCATTAATTATTTTCCATGTCTATATATGTTAATTATAGAAACTGAACGATAACGGCAAACGAAATATACTCATAAATTAATCTTCCAATATATTGGGAGCAGTAATTAAGCTTAATCTAGTGTGGTTATCTAAAACTTAACAGGTTATTCTTGGTACAGATTAGGTTAATTATGTGCACGACATGTGAAGTTGCATAAGATCAATGAATGTGCCTGCACTACCAACTCATTGAAGAACGAGTTTTTACTGATTCACATATATACTCTCCTCCATACGGCACGTTGGAATAATTTTGAATAAATTTATTAACTGGTACTTTGAGTATTATTCTCTATTTGTTTTTAAAGTGATAAAATTATATACATAAACAGTTAAAAATGTATTCATTTATCTGTGAAGTTAATATATTTTTATTAATTAATGTTTAATAATTTTTATTTTTTATTTTTAAGAGATTGTTTAATATGATTTTTAGCTAGTATTTAAGAGATTTTTTTTTATATTTCTTATTTTAGAGATTATTTAGTAAAGAAAATGATACTTTAAGATAAAATTGATTATTTATTGGAGCAATTTTATACTCTTTTTGTTTACCAAGAAAATTCCGAATGTCAGAAACAAGAGGGTGAGAGGGAAAGGGCAAACATGATTGATTTGGATATAGTACACGTAGATGATATATAGAATCTCTACTCTCTAGGCTTTGTTTCGAGAAAAGGAAAGTTTCAAACTTTATAATGTCGACGTGGCTTTTCTGGTTGCAAGAAGATTCATGCACATTCCACGTATCCATACCCATGCACTTCGTTTCGTACCGTTAATAATTATAAATAAATAAATATTATAAATTATAAATAGTTATTTAAAAAAATTATAATTTTTTATATATTTAAGAAGTATAATTATTCATTAAAAGTAAAGATTAAAGGGATGATTATCAAAATATATCCCCTTTATAGTATGTATATAATTATGAGTAGTTATTTAAAAAAATATAATTTTTTGCTATATTCAATAAATATAATTGTTTACTAAAAAGTGGAGACTAAAAGAATAGTTACCAAAATATATCCCTTTTATAATATATTAGAGGAGTCGAGACACTTCGTGCCTCTAATAATTATACACAAATAACATATTATAAGAAGGTTGCATATAGTTATTTAGAGAAAATATACTTTTTTTTATACATTTAAGGGGTATAATGGTCCACTAAAATGGAGACAAAAAATGGTTACATGTCTCGGTATCTCCTTTATAATATGTATAAATATAATAACTAGCAGAAAAAAGGCACTTCGTACCTCTATTGTATTAAAAGAAAAAGATAAGAAAAAAAATGAAAATTTACTAAAAAAAAAGTAGTTATTGAAAAATAAACAAAAGATAATATAGTCCATGTAAAAATGAAAATCAAAAGTAATTATTAAAAGAGGTATCTCTTTTATTATATAAATATTAGTATAGATTTATTAGTTTCAAGTTTTTAAATTTGATTAAGAAGTATTTTTTCTAATTTTTTAAAATAAAAAAATATAATAAAAAAAAATAGAGACCAAAGTGATTACCGAAAAAGGTATCTCTTATTAAAAAAAAGATCAATTTTGTTCCGTGGTTTATTCAAATCATATTTTTCCAATGAAAACGAGCATAGGATTGCATAACAAAGATGACACATTTTGATTGGTTAATAACTATATTTAGCACATTATTAATATATAAGATAATGTTGTATTATTAGGATTAATAAGGAGTGTTGTAGTTTTGTATAATTTTAATCTGACGTGGTCCCTATTCGGATTGATTGATTTTTTATTGGTTTGTTATATTTTGATGATGATGGAATATGGTGGGGCCCGATAAATGAGGAAGTAACATTTATAAGAATTTTAACAATCAACACTTTGGTATATATATATATATAATAATATTTATTTTACTCAATAATTTATATTAAATTTTAAATTTTAATAATTCAATTACTAAATTAAAAATTTATGATATATATATCAAATTTGTAAAATTTAAAATAATTTATTTTATTTTATTAATTAAAATTAACAGATGAGATAAAAATATTTTATAAATTAATTTAAATTAGTAAAATATAATAAGTCTAAATAAACTTACTATTAGAGTAAGTGAATTCCTTCTTTTATATATATAAAGAGAGAAAGAGAGAAAGAGAGAAGAAATTCATTTATTTTAGACTTATTATGTTTAGTAACTCGTATTTTACATTAAATTTTATTAATTTAACCATTTCAATTAAATAGACAAAAAAGTTCAATAAATAACTAAGATAAAAACAATTATTTAAAGATATATTATTTTTTATTAATAGTTATAAATAAAGAGAATGGAAAGAATTTCATCTAAAAAATAACTGATCAAATTAATTTTGTGAGTAAAAATAGTTAATTATTAATATTTTATACTAATATAATAACTAAAAAAACTTATTAATAATCCGATTGAAAGGTTAAACTAAAATATTAGTAATGTATTTTATAAATAAATTGTGTCTCTTGATCAAGATATTTAAGAATTAAATTGTGTCTTTGAATATAAAATAAATTATATTATAAGAAAAATACTTGTAAACTTAAATAGAAATTAATTATTATTTTTTGTAAAAGATACTTCATATTAATACATAATTTAAAAAAAAAAAAGCATTTTGGAAAACACGTGGAAGGCCATAATCGGAGGCAGAATGAGGGGATTGGGAAGCACTAAGCAAGAATATCGTAACCGTCCTTTTAGCTTCCTACGCCTTATTTTATCCATTTCCATCGCAATTCGGAACAGGAACACCATCGTTTAACTCAATTTATCATCTTCATTATAATAATCATTTTTTATTATTACTCTTTTTTAATTTTCTCCTTGTAAAAAATTCACATTAATACTTATTTATATATTTGTAATATTAAAAATTTTATATATAATTTTTAAAAGTATAAATATATTATAATTATTTTTTTATAAATTTTTATATCTACAATTCTGATTAAAGATGAAAATAAATTAGGTTAGATTATATTATATTATAATTTAATAAATTTAAACTTGATTCTTTTTTATGATATATTTATTTGTCATAGACATTTTTTAAATGTTTAGTTAGAACTATAATCTTAAATACCTATTTTATAATAATTAAATACTAATAAAAACATAATAATAAATATGTTAAATTTGATAAAAATCAAGTTTAATTTAATTATGATATAAACATGTTTTTAATATGTGATCTAAATCATGATTTATTTTAAAACATATTTTATAATAAAAATTTTAAATAGAACATAAAACTTTTAATCTTTCCTATTTTGATTTTTTTGATTAATATATACAATAAATAGAAAATACAGAAGGTAAACATGTATACTGCAAATTTTATTTTATCAAAAATTAATTTTTTAATATATTATATTATATATGTGAGTATTAATATATATATATATATATATATTATAATTAAACTTTTAAAAAAAATAATTCGTTATTGAGGAATATTCTTTATTACATAAGAGAACAAATTTATATTTTATACATACGATAATTTAAACATATATGTTTTTATTATTAGCATATAACTTTTATTTTTTAAAATATATTATTTTTATGTATAAAAAAGTTATATATATGTAAAATGATAATGGAGACAAATGACCCACTCTATTATATGTAGATCCATCCTTGAGTAAATAATCATTTTACTAATAACAAATATCTGTCCAAAAATTTTGTTAACTAACTTTAAGTTGTATTTTTTATAATTTAAATTCAAACTAAAATGTGACTTTTAAAAAAATTGAACTTAATTTTACTTGTACTAGCAATATATTACTATTAGACATGGCAACGGGCGCAGGGTGGGGGCGGGTTTTACGTTTCCTGCCCCCGCTCCCGTAAATTTCAACCGTCCCCGCTTTTGCCCCCGATACCCGCCAGGGATAAAATCCGGGTCTTCATCCCTACCTCCAGCGGGGTTCGACTTTCCCCGTCCCGTCCCTGCCCCGCTCCTATTTGTTTTCTTCTTTTTTTTTTTAAATAAATATGAACAATTTAAAAAAATATAAAAGAAAAGTAAATAATATAAATTTTTACATATAAATATTTATAATTTTATAGAGAAATCTGAAACTGAAGTTTAATATTAAGTGAAAGCCATGCTTAATATAATTTTCTGATGTTTGATGTCTTCAATAAGTAATAGTTTAATAATACTTCACCATTGAGTTTTTATCATCTTGTTAGTGTGTTTGGATTATCTTACTTTGTGTTAACAAAAACTTAAAATAAAAAATGCTCACTGAACTGTTTTTGTGTAAAAATTAAGTATAACAGAACATATCAGATCACTGGAATATAATCAAAATTACAAATACACGTGCTGATGTTAGCTGCCAGCATTTTTTAAACAAGTTTATTTGATTTTTCATGGTTTGTTAAAGGTGACATTTTGTGAAGCCTTCTCTGCTTCCCCCAAGGTTAATGTGTTGTGAAAGCTCTATGAAACTTGTACTTCTAAACTCATCATACCAGCCCCTACTAAACAGTACCACTTCCACAGCAGATTCCATATTAAGAGAACAAGCACTCAACAAGAACATTTAAATGTTACATGTAGATTTGAGTTGGTTATATCATCTTCACTCATGGGTCTAAATGTTGAGGAAAGAAATGAAACTAATGTCAAGGTGTTGTTAACCTAGCCAGATTGCAGGCACAATTCATTTTGCTTTACCTGTTTATGGGGGATGGAAAATATATTACTTCCATGTTCGAGCTTGTACATCCTAATTTTTAATTGTCATGCCTTATTGGGGGGCAGTGGACAGTCTTAACAGGACATACAATTGTCTTTGGTTGTGAAGAAAATTTATTCAAATTGGATATGGCAACATGTTTCAATTGTTGGTATTCTGGTAAAAGGAAACTTTCTATGTGGAGATGGCCATACTACTACAACTGTCTTTGATGCTTTTGTACTTATTTGGAAATTTCCCTACTTTTATGTAAAACCAATATACCCATGATTATAGCTTGATAGATGAACATAAATAATAATGCGATTGGGAGAAATAAAATATCACATGAAAAATTATTTAACAGTGAAATCTTTGCACTTTGAAAGCATAATGACTGATTGACTGTTTTGATGTTTGGAATTTGGATATCATCTAGTATTTGGATTTTAGAGAAATCTGAAACTGAAGTTTAATATTAAGTGAAAGCCATGCTTAATATAATTTTCTGATGTTTGATGTCTTCAATAAGTAATAGTTTAATAATACTTCACCATTGAGTTTTTATCATCTTGTTAGTGTGTTTGGATTATCTTACTTTGTGTTAACAAAAACTTAAAATAAAAAATGCTCACTGAACTGTTTTTGTGTAAAAATTAAGTATAACAGAACATATCAGATCACTGGAATATAATCAAAATTACAAATACACGTGCTGATGTTAGCTGCCAGCATTTTTTAAACAAGTTTATTTGATTTTTCATGGTTTGTTAAAGGTGACATTTTGTGAAGCCTTCTCTGCTTCCCCCAAGGAAGCTAGATTATGATTCTTTTAAATTCCTGCTTATAGAATAATGATTTTATGTTTTCTATGTAATATAATATAAATTAATGCTAGACTTTACAGTTGTGCCAATATAATATTCTCTACTATGATAATTCTAGTATTAAAAATACTGTCTAGTAGTAAACAGTTTTCTACAGTCTGTTTTATGTGCTTTTATCAATGCTTTCCTCTACCTTTACTGCTATTTTTTTAGAACCATGATATCGATACCTTTGCTAATTTTCTACCTTTTCAGCTAATTTATTAGATATACCTCTCCATCTTTCTCTCTCTTCTTCATCTCTCATAGACACAATATTTAAACTCTGTTCTTCAAGCAAATTTCACTATAAATTGCTTTGTATTTTTCCCAACAAAAGAAGTTGTGGAGTGAAATATTGTGTTTCTTTTGCTGTTACTTGGATTTACTTATTGTTTAATGTTTCTTTGGCCTTGTCGTGATTAATGATTAGAGGGTTAGGAGTATTTCCCTCTACGTGTGAAATGTCTGTGCATAGTTGATCATTATTTTCGAGTGCAGGAAAAGATTAGAAAATGCTAACACCTTCTAACACTTGCTAAACCTTGCTCAGGTAATATCTGAAACGTTAGTCATCCTATTTTCCAATCCTTCCTCTATTTATTAAGTCAATCCTAACTCTTGCTGCCATTCATGAGAAGCTAGAGTGAGGATCCATCATCTAATTTAAATCTCAGTGATGTCATTTTTATCTTCCTTGTGTTTATATTTTTCCATCCTCTGTTTTCTTGCCTCAGACTAGAAGGTGCTCTTTCTGTATCAGTGGATTGAGGCATGGGTAAATGGCTTCAAGTGAGTGGACTTATTTGGGGAAGTTGGTAATTTATTACGGTTTAGGAGACCATGAGTGTCAAGTATTTAGTGTTTACAGGCTAGTTTTGTAGATTGATTATGAATTCCTTCCCACTTTAAATGATTGCTCGTGGTGTTTATTCTCTTTGGTCAAATTTCACTCACCAGGTATATAACCATATTTCATGCAATTTTTTGCAGTGTCAATGGATTGTCCCCTTCGTTGATTAAACACATCATCTTGAATCTTGATATCAAATAAGCATATAGATTAGTTATTTGTTTACTCTAGAAAAATTAAACAGTCCAGCTGGGGGTCATTTTGTAGGTCTAGAAAGTATTGAATGGAAATGGTGAAACCTGATGAATAATATGTGAGAAATTGATGGATTTATTTTTAAATGATGTGAAGTGGCAATGGTGGTTGTATTATTGTATATTCTGGAAGTGGAAAAGAAAAGTTTGGTTGGACGTAATTGTAGTAGAAGACTTATTCTGATCAAACACATCTGCATCTCTAGATATTGTTCCCCTGTTGTGCTTGTCAGTAGTTACTCTTCCTAGCCATGTTGCCCTTGACATGCTGCTTACAGTTCACAATAACAAGAGCTATTAATTTTTATATTAAAGAAAAAATTGTGAGAGTTGACTTCGGACCTCACTCTCTTCCCCCGCCCCCGATTTTATCAATTGGGAAAAACCCGAATCGAACTCGAACCCGATAAACATAAATTTTTCCCATCCAAATCGAGACAGGTTCAAGTAGGTACCCACGGAGACGGGTTAAATTGTCATGCCTAATTACTATATTCCTGTAAAAAAAAAATTACCATATTAGTAATCACAATAACATTTGGGTGCAAAATATATTAAATGAAATATTTATTGATATTTAACTCATAAGATATATAAAAGATATTTGAATAAATACACCGCGTATTAATAGTCACAATAATATCGTATCCACGGAACCGACAGGAGTATCAATAAACATATGACTGTTTTTCGTATTAGATCCCACTTTCATGTATGTGTCCTTGCGTGACATGTTTCAAGACTCTAATCATATAAAATTTATCAATTTTCTTCTTTCTTTTTTATTTGATCACTTTGTTTGCTTATATAACCCTAATAAACTTCTAATATTACACACACATACAAGACTAAGAAAACAACTTTTTTTTTTTACAAAAATTATTTAATTTTTATGTTATAAATTAGAATTATAATATATAAAAAATCAACAGTGAAAAATTTACTTCTCTTTTCTCTTTCTTTAAACGTGGATTTCACACTCAACCTTTTTTTATTTAATCTTTATTTGAATTTAAAATTTGTTACAATCTATTTCAACTCTTTATTATTATGTGGATCCTAAATTTATATAGATCGTTTATATCTTATCGAGTTATAGTTTTTCATATATTCTCTTTATTTTTAAATTAAATTAATTTTTTAAATAATAGTTAAAACCCATTTTATGTTATAATCTAAATTATTTATTATAAATAAAAAATATAATTTATATTTAAAATATTGTCAGTGGAAGTGTTTGCATTGAATTTAGCATCTGGGCATGTCTTTAGGTGATGCATTGTGATTTTCCTTTACATAATTATTTTGAATAGATTTGTATGAGTGATATGTATGGTACATATTAATATGATAATGCAAGACTTGGCATGCTTATTTGGGGAAGTTGGTAATTTATTACGGTTTAGGAGACCATGAGTGTCAAGTATTTAGTGTTTACAGGCTAGTTTTGTAGATTGATTATGAATTCCTTCCCACTTTAAATGATTGCTCGTGGTGTTTATTCTCTTTGGTCAAATTTCACTCACCAGGTATATAACCATATTTCATGCAATTTTTTGCAGTGTCAATGGATTGTCCCCTTCGTTGATTAAACACATCATCTTGAATCTTGATATCAAATAAGCATATAGATTAGTTATTTGTTTACTCTAGAAAAATTAAACAGTCCAGCTGGGGGTCATTTTGTAGGTCTAGAAAGTATTGAATGGAAATGGTGAAACCTGATGAATAATATGTGAGAAATTGATGGATTTATTTTTAAATGATGTGAAGTGGCAATGGTGGTTGTATTATTGTATATTCTGGAAGTGGAAAAGAAAAGTTTGGTTGGACGTAATTGTAGTAGAAGACTTATTCTGATCAAACACATCTGCATCTCTAGATATTGTTCCCCTGTTGTGCTTGTCAGTAGTTACTCTTCCTAGCCATGTTGCCCTTGACATGCTGCTTACAGTTCACAATAACAAGAGCTATTAATTTTTATATTAAAGAAAAAATTGTGAGAGTTGACTTCGGACCTCACTCTCTTCCACAAATTTGTATGCTTATGCATCTCTAATGTCTTCTCTCCCTGACCCCTTCCCCTGTGCAAATATCTCCAAATGATTAAGAACATGTTTGGTTTCACATTCCACCCAAAACCTTGCTTGTGTAAAAAAAAAAAAAAGACCTCAAACATGGTGCAATCATGTTTGCCACAATTTTAGGCAAAATTAAGTTTGTTCTCAAACGTGTTTTGACTCCTTAAATACAGAAGCAACATTTTTGTTACTTTTGCGTTAGGGAAAAAATGTTTGTATATGTTTTGACAAAATAACTTAACCATCTAGAAGTATACCATCCCATTCATATTTTATTATAATACTCCTTTTTTTTTTAATTACAAATTCCAAAGTTGTTTTGATTTATATCATCCTAGCAACATTCATTTTGACAAATTCACATTTTAGATAAAAGTATCTAAACATAAATATGTTACACCAAACACAATTCTGACCAAAATCAAATTTGCAAACTCTAATCCAAACATGCACCGATAAATTAGGTTCATTTTCAATTGTGCTTGACTCAACGAAACTGTTACTTGCATATGGTTCTACATGCAATATTTGGATTGTCAGTGGAAGTGTTTGCATTGAATTTAGCATCTGGGCATGTCTTTAGGTGATGCATTGTGATTTTCCTTTACATAATTATTTTGAATAGATTTGTATGAGTGATATGTATGGTACATATTAATATGATAATGCAAGACTTGGCATGCTCAATTGAACTTGTTTTAACCAAGATAGTTTAGATGCCATTGAGTATTTAATAACAGTTATATTTTTTGTTTTAATGTTATTGCATACACTGCAATCATGATCAACCATTTGTCTCTTGAAAATGTTCTTGTTGATTGGAATCAGATTTGCTTGATTGTTAATTTTCACTTTTTATATTAAATTTCTTCAGTTCAGATGCTCTTTTGCCTTGCAGGTTGTGAATTATTTGCAGATCTGACTTATATACACTGTCTATTTTGACACCCGGAGATTGCAATTGATAGTTATGGGGCATAGGCACTTATATAACCCATCTTCGTTGTTTGAGGGTGAGCCTGACCAGAATTGGAATCATATGCATACTGATCAACATTATGTGCACCTTGGTAATGTTAAATAATATATATTACTCACTTCTGCTTATATTTTGGTTCATTAGTTTTTTTCTTCCCAATTTTAACTTAGATGATTGCATCAGCACCATATTACTTATATTAGACGGATCTCTAATGCAGGTAGGACTAGCACTTCAGAGAATGGTTCTTTTATTTATCCTGCAGAAAATATGTCTGTAGATGGCATTTCTTTCCCCTCTCATTGGAACTCTTCCACAAGATCAAATGGATATGCATCCTCAAGTCTCAACATTGATTTACCTCCTCACCAGTCAGATGCATCAGGCTCTTCTAATGATCATTTTGTGCATTCGTCTAGTGCTGGAGCATTCTTTGCCATGCCTGAAAATTATGTACACCAGCCTTCTTCCAATTATGACAGACAAACATTTCATGTTGATGGTGGTTTTATTGATCTTACAATTGGAAATGGACAAGGGCCTCACAAGCGTAAGAGTCCTGGAATTCCTTCAGTCTATGAGAGAGGTGGTACAAGTAGATACTTTAATGCTGGGAGTTCATCTGATCTTCCTATATCTTCAGAGTTATGGCAGGAGAAGCCAAATATTGATTCTCAATATATGCCCTGGGATCATTTTAATATGACCCCCGCATTCAGGGGTACTGGCCTTTCAATAAAGGGTGAGGGTTCTCTGCGGAATGTGAGGAGTCGTTCTGCACTTGATTTGGATTCTGACCTGGCTAGGACCCATTTATCAGGTAATCATTCGCACAACTACCCTACTGTTCCACCAGTGGGCCATTCTGGCATGGTGGATCTTTCTAGTCAGACTTCTACTACATTGACAAGAGATTGGAGCCAAATGAACATACCTCCAGCTAATGGAAGGGTGTTGTTACCAGGTTAGTAATGATAATAAATATTAGTATCAATACATACACATTCCCTTCTCTTTGCCTTTATATCTAAAAACATCTTACTTAAAATGCAGATGCAAGTGCTTTTGGTCTTGAGACTGGTCATTTCCTTGTTGGAAGTGGTGCTACTACTAGCAATCCTTCGGTTGATATTGGGGGTTTCCATCATGAATTTGGTACCAGCAGAAATCCTACTGCTCCTCAAAGTTTTCATAATAATCCATCTCAGACTGCTAGGGGAATTCGAAGCAACTATTCCCAGAGATCCACTCCAACTTTTAGGGCTTCTTCAAGCTTGCACTTGGGACATGGGACATCTGATGATGGATTGCCTATGGTAGCTGAAAGTTACCCTTCTAGACATCCAAGGCCATTGAGCACCATTGGCTGGCGGAATGGTGATAGAAATGGGAGGTCAAGAATTTCTAGTGAAAGATATCGATCATTGACTGAGGAAAGTGGTCTCCATGATCGATTTTCTTCTGAGGTATCTTTCAGTATCTCAAGGAACTCTATTTTTGTGTCGGTATTAATGGAAGGATATAACTATGAAATGTTGGGAATTTGGAACACCTGCTTTTGCTTGTGCACCATAGACATAGTAAACCTTACGTAAGGATACGTGGTTTATTTGCAAAATCTAAGCAAATTACTCCCAACATATTCCTTTGAAATAGTTGCAGTATTCATTAAGAGCAGCTAAATTATTCTTTCTACCATTACTACCTCTGGCTGACTCATTTAAATTTTGTATTTTTTTATTTTGGCTTTCAGGGTTTCATGGTTGTTGAGCGTGCATCACTGTATGGTTCCAGGAATATGCTTGATCAGCACCGAGAAATGAGGATGGACATAGATAACATGAGTTATGAGGTGATTATTAGTTTATAACTGTTTCTTGCGTTACAATTAATATTATACTATTTTTTTTAATTATTTTGATGATTGGTTTGACCAGGAACTACTTGCACTTGGTGAGAGGATTGGCTATGTGAACACAGGACTCTCTGAGGACGTGCTTTCCAAATGTTTGATGGAAACAATACATTGTTCATCTGAACAAAATCAAGACGAAGGAAACTGTGTAATATGTCTGGTATGTTTTTATTCTTCCATTCATAGTAAATATTTTAGATATCTTTGGATAATAACATGAACCCGGTGATTACGAGTTTTTATTGAAAATTGCAGGAAGAGTACAAGAACATGGACGATGTTGGAAAACTTAACACTTGTGGACATGACTACCATGTGAGCTGCATCAAAAAGTGGTTGTCTATGAAGAAATTATGTCCTATCTGCAAAGTATCTGCTTCGCCTGAGGATACGAAGGATGAATAAATTCTACTGTAGTATAATAATTAATCTCATTTTGTGTATATATTTTGGACATCTCTCAATCTCAAAATGGAGGAAACAAACTTGCTTTTGGAAATGTTGTAACAGGAATGCTACTTTATGTCAATGTATTTGTTTTCGGCTTCGATATCAATTACGCATATATATATATATAATTATTCAAATAGGATTTGCTAAAAATTATGATTTCAATATATAAAAAAAACAAAAACAAAATTGCATCCAATTACTTTTTAACTAGTAGTATACTTTTAGTTCAACTCGACTTTTAAAATTGAGATATTCTCATTCAAAAAAATATTTAAGTAAAATAATGGACATTACTACTAATATATTAAAAACAAATCCTTTCACTTTCAATAAACTTCACTATTCATTGAGAGTTGATTTCCCCAACATATTTAGTACATTATATAAAGGGAAAAAAGGTAAAAAGAAAGAAAATTAAATAAAAATGGAAATTAAACACAATAGACACATTTTATAATCTATTATGATCAATCCAAGTAAAACATCATGAATTAATATCAAAATAATCCTTAACAACATGCATCTTCTGTGATTTTTATTGGGAGATAAGCTCAAATCTTTTTTTTTTTTTTTTAAACATTCGGTGTGATAATTCAACGGTCAAACTTACACTCATCATTTTCCTTTTGATTAGTGGTATGTATGTATAACCGACAGTTTATATAATAATAATGGTATTTATTCAGTTATATGGTTCTTTCATTTGTCTTTCACTTCATTTTTTTCATCACTCTATATTACATTTTTTTATCTCTCTCTTTTATCTTTCACCAAGTATATTGACCATTTTGATTTACATAAAGACAGTAATTAAAGTTATATGCTATATATGTTATTTCCATGCAAGTTATTCACATTCCCCTCAGCAACAAAGTTACACACCCACTGAAAAGAAGTATGGTATGGCTAGTCGAATTTGTTGGTCAATTTGACCAATTTGAAGTTATTTAATTAATCAGAAGCTTGCTGCTTCTATTTGATTTGTTCCTATTAATTAATTGCATCAAAAGGGGTCATCCATGGCAAAGTATCGTTAATATATTAATACTAATGTAAACCCTTTTACTAATAACTTAATAACCATCATAACGGCAAAGATATTTCATGTAGAACTAAGAAGAAACATGAATATTATTTTTGTATTATTTAATGATACATGTCGCAACTAGTTGGGAAGAAAGGAGTTGAATATGCTTAGAACATGACCAGGCGTTTACCAAAAGAAAACGAAGAACATGGTTGAAGGTGGATAATTAGATGCATTATTATTATTAACTACATCTTAATTATATATATGAAACTTGTTTGACCATATAACTAACACATATGAGAAGATATCATCACCATAGAGAGATGAGTGGACTCTCCGGAGAAACACGAGATCACATGGAAGTTCTGCTTAAATTACAAATTGGAATATTTAAACTTATGAGAGATAGTTAGTTTTAAACTAATTAAGAAGTTTACATTACATGTGCAGTAGTTATGATATTCTCATCAAAAATCTTGCTTTTCATGACCAGCTTCCATATGATTGTTCAATACGTTTTATTATTTCTCAATTCAATATATATGTATTAGAATTTGTATATATGTATGATCCTTGTCTAAGAGTGAGACAAATGTTTATATATTAACGAGTTTAGTTTGAGTAACTTGTTTGTCTAAAAAAGCTTTGATATTTTGTATTCGCGATTGTTTCAATTATAACAATGCAAGACTTCTACCCTCTTCATCAAATGTCATATGTCTTATTTTTATATATTACTTAACTTGGTTGTATTCTTTTTCTTGAATTTTTATATAATATCGTTGGAACCAACAATTTATTATATTAGTATTATTAACTGTATCAGTGACGGCAATTTGAGTGAAAACTTGTTTGTTTGAAAATGCATATGAAAATAAAAATAAAAATAATAAAAAGTTATGAAATGAGACAATCTGCAATTAACTTTACAATAGTAGACTAATTGTATATTAGTTTAAGGATAAAAGTGTCCATAAAAAATATGGATATCAAAATAACAGATATGACATTTATTAATTGTTGTAGATACACTTTAATTTTTTTTAACCAACGAATGTGAGACTTGTTTCCAACCATATATATATACGTGCCAGTAGGAAAAATAGTCATTAATATTGATTCCCCGGGACCTACAAGAGAAACTAATCACATGAAAACAATTTAAAACAAATATTTATTTGTGATAAAATGTTATGGAGCCCTCCAAAATAGTGAGCATTATTCTCTCATTCCTAGTCAAATCGTGATACTGAAAAAAATGGAAACATATATATTAACTTTCTCGAATTGTTTTGATGGCTAAACCACATATTTAGAAGATGTGTGTACTTATATAGATATTGATAGGGATATATCTTTCATTGTCACATATATATGTATAGTGTATAGTGTAAAGTCGTGGCGGGGGACGCATTTTTGGAGGCATGTGCATATTGAAAATGACCAACTTGGACTTTCCCATCATATTAATTAATATCACAAATAAGACAAAAGCTATGCGATTGCTTCTCATATAATTGTGACAAGGAATTTCATGATAACGATTGTTTTTTGCTATGTACCTATATAGATCATGGTGGCATTGCGTCATTTTCACAAACCTCAACCCCCAATACTATAATTAGTCATATTTGGACTTGATCATACCAAAATTTTAGTTCTTCATTGTTATCAACGGTCTTTAAACTAGAACCAAATAGTTTGAATGGTTTTTCAACAAATACTATAATGAAAAGATAAAAAATACATTATAGCGGTAAAATAAATCAAATTTCTCTAATAACATACATTTTAATTCTTGGAAAGATTAAATGAAGAAACTTCTAAAATGTTGAAGTGTTATAAGTTAATATTTACGTACTTATAAAACTAATCTTTTAACCATTGTAATAATTAAATAAATCCCTTCTTAAAACATTTGACTCCAAAATTTTTAAAAACCTAATGTTTACAAACAAAATTAGTCTAAAGTCATAAGTTACTATTTATTGAAATATATAATATTATTGGATTATTGAGAATATGCACACAGATTTTAATTTATTTTTACAAGTTAATAAATAATTAATAAATTAAGTTTAGAAAAATAGACAATAAAATGGAGAATGCCTTTTTATGATAGTATAATAATTGTACATAATCTTAGAATCATTGTCACTTTCATAACTCGTGTTTATTTTTCCATACCATTTCTGCGATTTGCTTAATGCTTACAAAACTCTTTATCCTCGTGTAATTAAGACTGTGCATGAATGATGGTCCAAGTGGGGAAATTCAATCTTGTATGAATGATAAATTGTCGAAACCATGTCAACAAATATGAAAACATTTTTTGTAGATGTAATGTATTTTTTTTCTATTGGCTCATGTATTTTTCAATCAAAAGAAATTGTACACATAATTATCGTTTGTTGAACTTGATTGGATGCCAATGGATGGGTATTTAAGACTTGTCGACTGTTTGTTTCTCGTTATCTTTTTCTGTCCAAACTTTTGATATGAACATTTTTTTTTCTCTCAATAATATCTGTAGAAAATTACATATGCTGCCGAAATTTGGTCGTTTTATTTGAACTGAACTTTTACATGGTCGTACACGTACGTAATTAGATAAAAAGGGTGGCTTAATTAATTTCATGTTTGTACTTCATCAAATTTTATAATAAAAATATAGGAAAGATAATCAAAATTATCATCGAAAAATAATTATATATAAAAAATTCCTAGCGACACCATTTCTTTTGATGAAACTACTTTTAAAAAGAAAAATCATCACCCAATTATAAAATTTAATTAGCCAAAATAATTATAATATGCACAAACATAAATTAACATGTGTTATCGGTAGCATGGAAACTAGATATGTTAAAATTGGTTCGAGTTATTGAAATGAATAATATTAAACTCTTTACTTTTAGATCCGAAAAATACTAAGTGAAATCAGAATTTACTTGATTTTTTTTCAAAATTACATATATAATTATTAAAAAATAAAGTGACTTAAACTCTAAATCCAAAACTCAACTAATTTGATAAATTAGGTCAAATGGAAGAAATCATACATGGATAAAAAGTTGGGTTGGTTCAACTTCAACCTAATTTGTTTCTCTTGATTGACCTGATGGACTGGACTAACCATTTGACACTTTAGTGAAAAAACAAAATCAATGAAAAACTATTAAGGTTATAAATAGAAATTAATATGAGTCCTAGTCCAAGAATGCCAGAGTGAATCCAGAAGGATCATAATGGGAATGCAAAGGGAATTTCAACGAGTAGGATAGTGAGAGCATAGCTAGGTAGGGCTAGGGCTAGGGCTATGGCTAGGGCTAGGGCTAGGGCTAGGGCTAGGGGGAGGACCTTCAAACCATTGGGAATGGACCAAATATTGGGCAGCATTTCAGGTGAACCTCGTGGAACAATACAATACTCATGGACCAAAATCTTAACCCACAACACACTCCATTCTTTTCGCTGTTTCCTTCACCCCAAACCAAAGCTTATCCAAACCCATTAATTCAAATCCACCATCATGTCTTCATTTCATCTTCTGCCTATTGTTACTGAAATTTAGCAATAGGGTGGTCCAATTGAAGTATGGTCCCAAACCCTTTTGTTGGGTTTAAATGTGAATCTTCTGCCTATTGCTACTAGGGGGGAAACTTTTGGGGCCAGACCCACGTGAATTCCCAATGGGCTGGCCCAAAAAAGTTTCAATCGCAAGACTTTTCATAATTATATTTGTAAAATATTAAATGTGCCTATTGACGGCAGATTATTCTAGCAAACAACTTCTACATCATGAAATGGCTTCCTTTTATTATTTTTAGGTTGACAACAATAGTAATAGGGGAAAACGAGGTTTTGGACTTTCCTTCCTACGAACAAAAACGTAAACAAATCAAAATACGTAATTCGAAAATTTGATAAGAAAATTCGAAACTACATTCTCAAAATATACGGAATTTTGTTTGCACTGTTGATATGTTTAAGCATACCATGTTCTTTTGGGAAAATGTCACATCCACTTATAGCCTGAACTTGTGTTACATAAGAATAATTTGTTAGGGCACGAAGCCCTAATTGGTGTCCAATTTCTTATAGAACATTGACTTATAAATCAAAATAGAAAGTTCCTGTATATGCAAAAAAAAAAAATTGATAAGAAAAATCAATCTTTTAAATAAATTTCAGTACCTTACAGAATATATCGTAACTTTCCACTAAGGATACCTTGGTTTACAATAATTAAAAAAAAAACTTTTAATTGCAAAGTATAGCACTACAATAAAACATTACAGGTGGCCACTGACCACTTCTTACATAAACATCTGTAATCTTTTTCGGCTATGGTGGACGTAGTAAATGTTTTCACCTCTAGCAACTCAACAGGAACATAAACAATAAACAATGTTACTAGTAACAAGACATTTTGGTACATTCATTACTATATAAATGTTCCTCCATGTGACTTTACAAAGTCAAAATTTGACAATGAATATTTTACAATTGAATGCTGAGAAAAGAATGAAAAAATAACTTTACAGCAGGGATATGGCCAAAAAGATGCAAGTTCCTTTAAAGATGTAAAGAGAAAATAAGAATAATAAGACGGCATTTACAACCACCAATGGCAAGGACCAACAACTCATTTTATACTAAGCTTCCTACGCCTACTCATTCAAAAATTGGAAGGCTGGATTTTCAAGAAGCTCATCTGCTGGTTTCATGTCTGAGAAATCCTTCTCTTGCAGTGATGTAGAGAGATCTTCCACTGAGAAGGGGATGCTGCAAAGAAGCAAAAACCATTTCATGAACATGTAGCCTATTTGCAAAGTTTAAATTTGCTCTAACTAGTCAAGTACAACCCGAAAGATTGAATTCAAAGAATTTAAAATAATTAGGCTGCAGCTACTTTTAGCATGCGTTACACAACAAATAAATTAAGGCTCTGTATAAATAAACTTTTTCAAAAGTACTCCTAGAAGAAATAGAATAGTAGAACAAAAATTGAAATAAGTTTTTCTATAAGCTTAAAGTAGTTTATGTAGAAGTTAAAAATAAGATTTTAGAGAAACTAACAAGAGAGAATTTAGAGAAACTTTTGCTGTTTTTTTTTTTTCTTCTTATTTTTCTCTCTTAGAAGTGCTTTTGAAAAAGTTTGTCCAAATAGACCCTTAAGTTAAAATAAACCTGGGCACCAACCTCTGCACTTCAACTTTTTGGAGAAATTAGATGAGAAAACTTCTATAAAAGTTGAAGTGCATAAGTTGATTTTAACTTCTGGAAGAAGTTTGATTTATTTTACCTACTTATTATCTTCTCCTATAAGTACTTATTAAGAATTTTATCCAAACAGGACCTGAATACATAATCTATCTTCTATCTATTATAATGAAGATAATTTTGGCCACTACTTAGAGTTATATGTTCTAATGCCCAAAGCACGTGTTATTAAAGAACCCTCACCTGGAATTGTCATCCAGCAAGAAAGAATCACTCTGAGCATTATTGGAGTCCTCAGCCATTAGCATCCTCATGCTTGAAAGGACCTGTTCGAGCGCATTAATCGGTGAATTATTTACCACTTCAGCTATGTCTTTTGCTGTTATTGGAAAAAAAATATAGACAAAATACTTACATCAGGAGATACACTTCGAGTATTGTAGTTACCATCCCAGTAAAGTGTACATATTCTATACAGCTGCTGGACACTCAAGATCTGGAGAAGAAAAATGGAAAGGAAAAGACATCAGAGAAACACATACACAGTTGAAGACATTGAGATCATGCTTTTGCAACCATGCATTTATGAATATCCTTTTCTCCTTCTAATCCATCCCTTACAACTAAATGCAAACACATGTCTGTATTTCAGTCCTATATGTCTGAGCTTTCAGCAGATTCAGGTATGGCTACCATAAAATAAAAGTCCATAGACCATCATATTGATGAGAAATGCATGCAGGCCTCTCACTGACACGGAATTTGAGATGTATAAAGACTTACAGGGCATAAATCATTGATGATTTCATCATAGGAAATCCTATACTTCTGATGAATAACCTGTATATAAACAACGACAATAATTAAGACAGATTGGATTTTAATCACTTCATATAAATTAAATATTCATGAAAAAATAAAATAGAATAAAAATGGTACTTCATATTCTTTAGTTATACAGGATTTATCCTGTTACCAAAACTAATCATGAAACTTCCAGATTGTATATGATTAAGCAAAAAGAAAACAAAGTGCAAGTATGCAACGCATAGAGAATCATCATTTACGATCAAAATAATGAACCATCAACAAAATGTGGCAAATTATCTAATCAGACACACTTACCAAGAATCCAACAGCCTGTCTTATGTGCTTAAGCTCATCCCAAGATGACCCTGCATACTGCAAGTTTGTACTTAAAAAATGAGCACAACAGTTCAAAAAGCATGCAGAATCAACCCTACAACCCATCATATGTCATTAAAGCCCAAGTAATATATGTCCTAACTTGAAATTAACACATCACAGTAAAAGCATAGACAATTTACCTCTTCCTTTGCTTGGCAGCACCACAACTCTAATTCAGCTAATCCAGCTTTCACATATTCCCCGTTGCTGAATGTGCAACAATCACGCCGAAGAAGAAGACTAGTAAACATTTGAGCAAAAGAGGTGTTAACCTTTCCGCATTTTAAGAAGAGTGCCATCATGATGCTAAATAAAATAAAAACTTATGCGATAAAGGATGTATGCAAAAACTACTTACCTATTGAAGAGTTGCACATTAATAAATGAGAATGTTTGACTGAAGATCTTTTGGATAAGAACTGGAGGCACCTGAAGCCCAAAAGAAAATATCACATTTCAGCAATTTTCAGAAATGGAATGGACGAGCAATCAGTGAGGTAACTGCTTAGTATTCAGAAGAATAAGTGACAATTTATCTTCTTACAAAGTTCTCTTTCAGTGTACAGAGGAGGGTATTGAGAGATTCAATAATACTCTGCCAGTGAATCATTGGGGAATCTTTAGCAAAGGATCGGCCAGAACGTAACCCTCCCTTTGATGTTCTTGGAGCCTACATATCAGCAGAGATTTGCATAAGGAACAGAATAAATAAAAAATTTGTAACAAAAATAATATTAGGCTCAGCATCCTTTTTGAAATTTCTAGAAGATGTCTCCAAAATGGAATTATGAGGATAAACAATGAATTTTATGGAATGATATATTGTATACTACTTTATCCAGACCACTTGAGTTGAATTGAACAATTGACAACTATATTTCAACACACCTGGACGCATAGTGCAAGAACTGGTGTTAAATCCTTCTTCAAATTATCCCGAATGATGCCATATATTTTCTCCAAATAGGCTGTGAGCTGCTGCTTGAAAAGCAAAGCAGGGTACTTAGCCTCTACCTTGCGTACAACATCTGAAGGAGGGGCAGCAAGGTTGGCAGAAGAAGGAGATGAAAGAAAACTCTGCAATTTACCTTGAATAAATCAGTATTTTTCAAATGCTAAATAAAAATATGCTTACATACAATGTAGGAAATATCCATTACCATAGTCATTCTTCCAAAGAGGGATGTTGGATTAGGTGGTTTTCTAGCTGGGGTAGCATTAGCTGAACTCCCGGATTTCAGGCTTTGTTCAAGTAAAAACAACAACGCAGATGTATTTGACAGCCAATAGGCCATATGATCATTGCCATCTTGATTCTGTATGGTAAAAAAGAGAGTAAGGTAGAAGAAAGACAATTTTAGATGAGTGCTCTAACACTTTTTGTTGCTATACCAGAAAACACCATAAATATAGAATATTTCATAAAAAAAAAATTAGGATCACAGCATTTAACATTACAGTAGCCACTCTTTAAAGAAATGGAGGAATAACTAGGACAATAAACCATGAAACTGACCAAAGCAGCATTCAATGTATTACTTCTAACACCAATAATTTCATAGGAAAAATATCCTTGAACAAGAATTAAACTAAATAAACACAAACGGACAGTCCCAACTCCAATAGAGAAGTTATTAACAAATAATGAATGTTACATTCCGCTAGACTGCTTATTCAGCGCAATGAAATGGAGCGAGAGTTTAAAGATATTAAAATTGTAAACATATGATTTGAGTTGTCCCAGGCTGCATAATCAATGAAACTCCTTCAGCAGAAAGAGGAGACAATAAAAAAATAAAATATTTTTGGCACAAGTGAAGATTTTTCTCATTAACATGCACTTGCTTTCAATGGCTTCAAGTTTCTAATTTTGGATTATCTCGCAGGAGCTGCTTAGTACCCAGAGACAGATTTATTACTTGATTTTTAGTAGTCAACCTTCCTGTAGACTGTAGCGTTTAACATCTTTAGGGGTTCTAGATCTTCAAAAATTCACATTTCTAACAGATCCTACTCTAAATTAAAGCATTAAGAGAACATAGATTATTAAAATGACTGCTACAGGTGACCAGTTTCTGTTGACTAACTAGCTTCCCTGGTTATGGAAGAACGCAAGAATCCTGCTTTTTTTGTGGTAATGTGCAATTAATCTATGCCACAATTTGGTTGGAACGTAAGTCTCACAACTTATTAGAGATATTTTGGATGAGCAGCTTTGGCTTCAATTTGGTGTAAAACACACTAGTGCCTTTTTTATACAGGTTTCTCCAACAGATACGTTGAGTAGCTTTGCTTTATTAAGGTTTTCTATGTTCCCTACTGTTTGTTTTCTTTTTTAAGGAGAATATCTTACCCCACAAACTTTCTGCATAATGAATTTCTTCTTTTAAACTCCCCTTCCCCCAACAAAAAGCAAAACAAAACAATTGTTTAATCATACTCCCATTGAGCCATTTCAACATGCTCTTCAAAACAGCTCTCTATGGAGGAACCAGATGCTGAATGAAAGAGAAGATAACTGTCTACCCATACAAATTTATCACAAACACATAATTTTTTATGAATTAGGACTCTTGTTAGTTCCCAGAATTGTGCCCAACTAATATCACGTGTTGAAAAGTTACCCACTAAACAACACAATTACACTCCCTTTGTAACTATTTGTTCAAACCCATTTTATTTCAACAATCTTAGTATCGTTAGTACATATATAATCAAAACAAAAGGCAAAAAAGCAAGTTATTTACATTTTAAAAATGATATAGAATTTAAATTGTCAAAATACATGGGATAAATCACATTATCTTCACATAATTAAATGCTCTTATCCTATGACTAAAATTTTCAACTAAGCTGTTTTTCCATATATATTATCTTATCATGTACTATAAAGTATAATTCAGAATAAAGTAATTACATCACCTCAATTTCAAAACCAATCATTTGGATAAGGCGATCAAATACACTAGTTCTTTCAGCTTCGAATGATTTCCAGTGGAGCAGACATTTGTAAATGGTGAATGCAGCAATGGGTTTTCCATGATTGAAGCCAATATTTTTCATAACACAGTTGACAAGTGAATCGACACTCTCCTACAGTGAACAAGAGTTTAAAATGAGAATAGTATTTTGGCATAAATAACTATGACAACAAACAAAATTAAATTCCTAAATTTAAGCACGTACATGTTGTCGTTCAATGTAAGACCTCCTCAATTTAGCGTCAGATTCTGTACCGAATTGTTTCACAGGTGTGACACATGTATCCTGCAAAGATAACTCAATTTGTATTCCATTAAACACAGTCAACAGTTACAGATTCACAGAAGGCATACAGAAACAGTAGTAAAGAATACTTACATCAGCTTTCTGCTCTTCTGCCACGTGGTGACCATTTTCTAACTTCTGTACATAAAAATGTCAATATTTCAATATATGTATATTTACATAGAGAATGAGGATTTATATATCTTGGCTAGAATTAATTACCTCTGGGGAAGACAGGTGCTCTGCTATTGTTTTCATAGATGAGTTTAGGAGAGATTGTTTCTGAAGAATATGGTTTGCAGATTCCATGTCCATGAATTTCTCTTCTAGCCTATCAATATTAAAAAAAAATTTAAAAATGGTCATGATGATAGAGATCTTGTAATAGCAATTAGAGTATGAATGATAACTAACGCAGAGACAAAAATTTCCCTAAAACATCAAATGATGTCAATTAAAGATTTATCTTATATCAACAAAGTTTAATCACAAATAAAACCTTTGCATAGCAGTCTTCAACTGGATTACTTTTGATTCTGCATCCAAAGCTTGCTTCAACCTTTCTTCGCCAATTCTGTTTGCCTCTTCATACCTTTTTTCCGTTTCATCAATTTTCTTTTCCAGTGAACTCACCATGTTCTGTAACAGACTCCACAAAGCACTGTCTTAATAATACAATATGGCAACATATCTCACCCAAAATGTGAGGATATCCTAAATGTATCAATATACAAATACTTTCTTGAAATGAAGCATGGATAACAATGCCATAACCACTTCACCTTGAGTTTCTCATTCTCACTACTGAGCTTCTCCAACAAAGCATGGTCAACAACCGGAACCTCCTGTATGATGGGCTCTCTCTCTGCTGCCCTTTTTGTAGCCTCCCTCTCCTTTTCAAGAAGTGACTTAGTTTCTTTAAACTGAAGTTGCATCTCTTGCAAAGCAGATTGTAATCTTTGATTTTCTTGTGTTTTTGCTTCTTCCATGTCAACCTATATTTAATATTAGAGGTTAAAGAAGCTTTTCAAGATTCTAAATATCGTGTCATCACTTTCTTATATCTTTCTCAGTAAAAAAACACAGAAAAAGTCCCTTTTCATCTATTACACAGATCAATTTCACTTTACTGGGAAAAGTTTCTAAAACAAGTATTGCTACATTGATAACAGATCATGCCACAATATTTTACTCAAACTAATTTGACAGGGTTCATTCATAATGGTAGAAAATTGCTAGTTTACCACATTAAGTTATCTCAGTTAGCAGTTAGTACTGGCAAAATCATAGTAATTTACCCTTGAACGTTTTTCCAGCTGCAACCTTAATGTAAGGTCTTCAACTTGCTTTTCAAGCTTATTTTTGGCAGCTTGGAGAGCTCCTGTTTCTCTTGCAGCCTGCAACAAAAAAATAAATCTCAATCACGATAATAACAAAAATGAAAAGTGAATACACAATCTTAAGATGTAATAGTATTGAAAAAGTTCCCTTCACCAAAAAAGAAAGCATGTGTTTTTTCCTCTTGCAAAATGTGTGTAAAATTGACTCTTACAGTTATGAATTCCAGACTAGCATTTTTTAATGTTCAACAATCACAGATCGCTGTACTCCCAATCCAACACATTACCTCTTTCACACGACAATGTGACCATGTAAACCCAAACAAGATGTGAAACTGGTACTGTTTCAGGAGATATGTAATCTGATTTCACATCTGATTACTTGCTACTTAAATAACTTTATGCTATAAATTATGAAGGGCTAATGCCACTAACCAAATGTCAATACACCTATGAACCCATTGAATTCTAAATTCACTTATCATAACTATTATCTAGGGTCTAATATGATGTTTACTAACTCACAGTTTTACTTGAAACAAATTTCCATTAATGGATTCAAAGGATCAAGGAGTTGCACAAAGGTGCTTACCATCTTGAGCTTTCGCAATTCTTGCCGTGCAACTTTTCCTCTCCATGCACATTGTGTTGTAATTGCTGCCTTCTTTAATTTTGTGAAATGAATTCGTGCCAAGTATTTCCGGCAGTGGCTCTAGAATACACAAAATCATTTGTGTTGGAATAACATACCATTTGAAAACAAATAAAAATTTAAAACCAAGCTCCGCAACAATGATTTTGTATAGAATGCATAAAAATGTTTAAAATGACTAATAATTATGGTTCTTAGAAATACCTGAATGACAATTGCTGCTTTAGTCCGCCTTCTAAAATCTAGCTCACAACGAGCAGCCAACCCCCGCAAACCAGTCTGGATAGAGACAGCAGAAGTATACAATTTTTTGTATGCACTCCTAGCAATATGCATGCGGAAGCACCTTTGAATCATCAAACTAGAAGCCTCCTGCCGCATTCCCTCATATACTTGCCTAGCAAGTTGTCCTGCAATCAGTACAAAGAAAGTCATCAGACTTCACAAGTCTAAATTTTTTCCCAAATCCAACCTGTGAGCTAATATGTCAAGAAGCAGTGACCTCTGCAAGCAGCTTGAATCCAAATGGCGGACAAACGAAGCAAGATGAAACTTTGGCGGGCCAAATAGGAACGAACTTTTCTCTGAATAATGCTTGCTGACTTTCCTAAGATTTCACTTCTACGGGTATCTAGTTCTGCCATCTGACCAGCTCGAAGAAACACTTTTGTCTTACCAATCTGTGGCAACAAACAGAACCAATAAATTAGAAAACAATAATATATGCCTTGTATCACCAAGAATCTGCAATTGTCAAATGCAATGGTATATATCATTACAGTAAGTACAGATCGCAATAATTAGCAATTCATGTTTGGTATATACTTGACAAACACATGACATAGTGATCATTCCTAAACATAAACTACACTCTCCAAATTTACTCTCGGTATAATGGTAGTATAGATGAATCATGCAAGGAGAGAAGAAAAGAAAAAGTTACCAGCTCTCCCAGCATAAAGAGAAAGACTCCCAAAGAATAAAGATTTGATCACACTGTAACAGTTACCTGATAGCCTTCAAGTCCGACATTCTTTAGAATCCTCTTGCAAGCAGTGACCTCATCAGAACTAACATAATTAAAAAAATATGGAAAAGCATAAGCATTTTCAGAATAATGACTAACACGATAGATGAACAATTCAGATACCTTCCATCCAATGCTTCAGGTGCAAGAAGACTAAATCGATCCACAAATTCTTCAAAGGCTTTTCTAGTAGGATACCCAGCACAGCTTATCCTAATTGCCTCCATAACTCCCTACAACCAGATGAACTATGCTAATAAGCATAAACACACAATAATATCATGTTGAACTTCAAATTATGGAACAAACTATATTTTAAAAGAAAAATGTTAAATACTAGCAATCTTACCCCACAACGTAGTTGCAGCAAAACATTTTTATTCTCAAAAATTGCTGGCTTAAGAAGGTTATTGGGTTTTACACAACGAATGTAGTGTGGCTCAGTGGCACTGAGAGTTTCAAGTAAGGATTGCAATTGTTGCTGCAAGACAAGTGTTTTCACAAACCCAAAGATTAGGCAAGAAAGACAAATAAGTTGGTTTCATTTCAAATAAAAATAAACCAACCTTAAATCGTGAACCTATTGAAGAGAACTTTGATTGCTTGGAAGATTCCTCAGGTGAAGGGGTAAACAAGCCCGATACAAACGGACATTTGGAAGCATAAAGAAGTGCCTGGTGTTCTGCAACAACATAATCTTTGTTCTTGTCGAGGAAAAATTCAGTTTGATAAGTGACCTACAAATGACACAGGTTAAGTGTACATGTTATCCAAAGAAGGAATGAATCACATACAGCATCCTGGACATGTACTTATACTATATATGTAATCCTATGTATTATATCTCTGCACATATAAATTACAACTTTACTAACTTACATCTCCAGCATAATGGCAAATTGTGAAGTCACTACGTGATAATTTAGGCTTGCTAAACCTTTTATGGTTTTTGAAGGTCTGATACAACTTTTGGGCAAAAGTTTCATGTGTAGATCTAGGAAACATACTGCATAGTACAAACACAGAGCTATCTGAGCATCAATAAAAATAATTGAAAAATATATATGGGCTATCAGTACAAAGTATACCAAGCTTCATCCAGAAGAGCTATTATGCCACCAGGTTTCTGAAAATGAATACAAGATAATTCAAAAGTCAATAAATTTCAAATGGTAAATAATAAATCCACAAATGGCAGACTGCACAAAGACAACTATGACATTGTGTGCTAACAGTAACAGTGGCAAGTCAAGATATTTAGCCTGCTAACAGTAATAAAAGCAAAATCATGAATAACTTCTTGATATACAAGATATTTTCTACTTAAGGGAGAGGAGACAAGGATCAATTTGTATGCACTAGCAATTATCATTTCAAGGTAATCAGATTTACCTTTCTTAAATTAATTCATAAATTCAACCTAGTCTCTAAATACATTAACTGAACATGGCAAATTTCTTTCAAAACATTATTTAAAACCATTTTTTTAAATGAAAAATAACCTTCAAGATGTCCAAATAATAATTAATGAACTGTTTTTTTTTACTAAGCAACAAATAGAACATTTTATCTCTTTGATATATATACACAACCTCATTGATTTTCAATTTTCAAAACAGACATTGTGAAATATATCAGCATTAAAAGTATACAAATACAAATGTATTAATTATCTGTAAATGACTTTTAGGTACATCCCAAAAGTCATGTTACTCATCCCAAGTTCCCAGTCCATCTTATTATCTTGTTTATTTCTGTAGAGGAGAGAAAGCAAGACACGTGAGAATCCGTGTGCCATTGTACACAACGGAGTGTATCATTAGTAATAATTTTGTATATATAGAAGGAAACCAATACAAAGAAAATATTTATCTAATTAATATATCTATTAAATCCTAGAATTACCGTAATTAAAGATATCTAACAATATCCAACAATTGCTCAATTACCATAATTAAAGATATCTACAATATCTAACCATTTCCAAATTCCAATGTCTAACTGAAGACAGGCATGTTGAGGATTATTGAAAACTGTAGTCAACCATCTTTTCCACACAAGTTCACGTTTTTGAAAGCAACTTCCTTTGAATTTACAATAAATAGAAACTAGTTTTGTCTTTTATCTTCTAACTTCTATATTTACTATAAAAAATCTAAAATATATATATATATATATAAATAATAATAATAATAATAATAATAATAAGTTTAGTGTCTGCCTCTGGTATCTTAGAAACAACAACTTTATACTAAAAACAAGGCACTGAAATCAGTGGGTAGTTATTAGTTAATTAAAAACTTAAAGCCTGTAAAAAATTATAAAAAGAAAAAAAGATTCTATTACTTGTGGGTAATTATTTAAAATTTTAAAGCAGATTCTCATATTTTCTGAATAAAATAAAATAAGAAGGTACTCAAACAAACATGCATCATCTCATGTAAGAGGATCCAAACTCATTCATACTGCCCTAAACACAATAGTGTAGGTCAAAACACAAATTTAGTTTCATTGAAAAATGAAGCAACAACATAAAGCTTTTTCACACTAGATGAGATTGACAGCTACACAAATCAAACAAATGTCAATGTGTTCTCTCATAAAAAATAAATATAAATAAATAAGTCTTCAAAAGGTCAATTTAAATCTAAGACATAAATCAAACTAATGTTTTGACTTAGAGGCTTTTGCCTTTCTTGGTCAACCTCTGCCTCTAATAATTGGGCTATCCTCAATGCAATTTACTCTTCTTGCTAGCACTTGAATTGATCATCTTCTCATGTAGCCAAAACATCTTAGACTTACCATCTTTTCCTCAATAGGTGCTACTCCTTTTTTCCCTCTAACCTTGATTTATATGTCCATTCACGCATTGCAATATTCTAATCTCCGTGACAATTGGTTTATGCTCATGTTAACTCTTTACTGCTCATTTAACATTTAATTTTAATAGAAATGAATATCTCATTATAAAAAAAATCCTACAAGAGATCAAGCCAATATCAACAAAAGGATTGCAGAGTTAGAAGGGAAAACCTTTTCAATGAGATCCAGAATATCTTGATTGTCCACGAATTCAATGTAACTCCAATCAATTTCTTCTTTTTTGTATTCTTCTTGCTCCATTTTGAAAACATGCTGCATAACAAAATATTAAAGCATAACAAGAGCATGTTGAATAGATGTAAAATAATAATAATAATATTACTGTCTGTTTCAGACATACAAGAAAAAGATACTGGCCTTTAAAAAGAAAATAATCATTTTCATATACAAACCTGATTAAAATGTTGCTGAAGCTTTTCATTGGTCAAATTTATACAAAATTGCTCAAAACTGCAAAGTACACATAACAAACAGGAATAATATCATACAAAATCAAAATCATTACTATTACAAAAGGTGGTAGAGCTTATGTCTATTAGATAAATCCCCAGTCAAGTAGACTGCTAATAATACGTGATGGAAATGAATGACATTTCATAAAATGTATTTTAACCACGAACAAAACTAACAAATGAATTTATGACATAAGCGTTGTTAATCATGAGCAAGGTTATAATGAACTGAGGATGGACTAAATGATATCACCAATTCAATCTAGCATCTCAGAATAAGACAACTACAGGTGGAGGACATTATTGCCTCCCATGTCCCAAACAAACTGTAAGTTTCTTGGAGTAACTGTTCACTTGAAGACTCACCGATGTTAATTAATAATAACACAACAAAAAGTGCACTGGTTACAAACCTGTTAGTCTTGAAACTCTCAAAACCATAAATATCCAGCACGCCAATTAAGGATTTTGACTGAGGGTCTTGGCCAATAGAATTATTAATTTTATCAACCAACCTACAAAAGCAAGACATAAAATTATAGAAACAGATATTAACACTTGGAGCAAATAGAAAAACTTGGTAACTATGACCAAGGTTCACAAAATTATATCTTTAAACAATCTGCTGCCAGGCTTACCAGTCAAACAATCTTGTGTATACAATCTTAGCCAAGGCATCTCTGCTGAGTGCAGCAGCTTCCGGATCCAGCCATTTTGTAATTGTTTCATCACGAGTAACAATTACACGTTTGCAAAGAGAATCTTCAAGTGCCTTTGCATCACACCTGAATAAAAAATTATGAGCCAACATGGAAAAGATGAAATGCAAAGCTAGAAACAAAGCAAGTTCAAAATGCTTGCTCACATGAAAAGCTCAGCTGCAGTCTGTAGATGAAACCGAGATTTTTCATCTTTAGGAATAGATGAGTCTATTTCTTTCCCTTTGACAAATTCAATGTTGCCAAGATGTAAAATTGCAGCAACAACTTGAAATATTGCATCCTAAAGAGAGCAATTGGGAGGTGGAAAAACAAAGCATTTAATCATAGGTCAAGCTTGAAGAAACTGAAAATGAATAAAAATAAAATCCCAACAAAATACCTGCTCCTTAGAACTTATTCCAACAATATCCATTGCTCTCCTTGTGTCTCTATATTCTTTAGATTCATCAACCCCTTCCAACTGAAAGCAATTTGATTGATTCAAATAATGAAACGTTCTTGGATCTTCTAATTTGTACTTTTTAATATCCTGTCAAAAAAGAGGACCAGAAAATTATAAATAAATTAAATTAAATTAAGCACAAATTCACCAATAATGAACTTCGAAAGCATATTGCCAATACAGACCATTGAAAACTAAAAATAGTTGACCCAACATGATGCATCTTTCAAAATCTGTTTATCACTAATCATTCAGATAAATAAATATTCACAAAACAGGGAAGCAATGTTACCACAAAACAAACCTAAACCATAAAGATGTCTAACTAGAAAAAATTATATCCTAACATGCTAAAGTTCTATCGCCCCATGTTTATCTTCCACTAATAGCAAGATTGAAAATACATTACTACAAACTCTGAACCTCTAAGCTAAAAACAAGGTCACAACTAACAAGTACAACCAGCATGCATTATCCTGATAAAGCGAAAAGACACATCTTACAACAAAAAACAAATTATAGATAGGCATACATAAAAACTATGAGAGGAAAGTAAATCAACTCTTATTTTCTATCAAAGTTTTCTCCAGGTCCATTTTCAGGAAATATTTTCTAATGGTAATTTCCTAACATTTACAATTAAATCCAGAAACAAACTAATGAAACCAAAATAGCTTCAGTACCTCCGGAGGTGCAGCACAGAGCATGTAGAAACAATGATAGTTCCTCTCCGGATCTGACACCTGGCAAACACGTGATCTTTCAAGCAGATAAGTCCTTATAGCAGCTCCTGAAATTCTTCCCTTCTGGTCAAATTGAATCTCCACAAACTTGCCAAAACGACTGCAGAAGTCAAAAGTGAGAAAATAAAATAAATAAGACAGGATTACAAAAAGTTTGTGATATAACTACATAAGCAGAAAACTTACTATTATTTCCCACCTTGAATTATTGTTCCTAACAGTCTTTGCATTGCCAAAGGCTTCTAGAACAGGATTGGACTGCAGATCAAAGAAGAAAGGGTCAAAACAAGGGTTAGGTTGAATGGACATAAGTTAAGGTTCTAAGAAATTTAGATGCTGAAAAAGGAAAGTATAATTCTCTTACCTCAAGGACCTTTTGCTCAACAGTTCTACCTTCAGCAACAGCAACTCTCCCACCCATGTAAGCAAGATACCTCATGAGTAACTTGGTACTTTCTGTTTTACCAGCTCCACTTTCACCACTAACCAATATTGACTGGCTGATTCCCTCGTTTATCATAAGCCTAAATCCACAATAATTTGTATAGTCAGGCTTTTAATTAAACTAATAACATGATGTATCTGCAGGAAAAATATGAAAACTACCTATATGCTGCATCTGCAACAGCAAAGGGATGTGGACTTAGCTCACCAAAAGCTGCTCCTTTATATTGTGCCATCATATGGCTATCATATAAATGAGGGAGCTTTATAAAAGGGTTCACAGCAATCAATATATTCCCAGTGTAAGTCTGGAAACAAAATATTAGTCAGCACTTGTCAATAAGTATGAAAATATGCAGATACTAATGAATGCAAAATAAAGGGAACCATTGACCATTCCCCCCATGCAACAGAAACAAACTTTGAAGAGCTGGAAACTGTAATGCCTACATAAATTTCATTTATATCATATCTTGATCTCAGGTTATCTAGGACTCCAGGTTCATGCAGGTATGCAAGCTTTGTCATATCATCCACTCCACTTGGTGGGACTTCAGTATCTTTATGATAAATACTGGAAGCTTTAACAACAACCTGCAAATTTTGAAGACAAACAAGAGAAGGACAAAATTCACAAATTTAAAACATCAGAAAGTTCCAACTTTGAGTTAACTTAAGAAAATGTAAATGGAGTATGCCAAATAAAAGCACAGGAAGCATGCAAGACAAGAACAAAGAATTTCAAATTTAAATAAGACACATATATTCATTATGATATGCTTCAAAGGTTCCCACTAGTCATTCATGTTTACGAAATAATAGCCCTCAAAGTAAAAAACCCATAAATTTCAAAGAACAAAGAAAATGCATTGGTAAGGATTAACTTTTAGCAAATATTACAAAGTAGCGAAAATATGCTCACCGTCTTCCCTGAAGTGCAAAGGACTTTAATTTCTTCTCCTTTAACCTCAAGGACCTCACCATCTATCCAAGCCACATCAGGATCCTCCACCCAAATATGGGACCCAACTACAGGATTGGCAGCAGCAGCCTACAATGCAGAGAGTGTCACAACATAAGTGTACTAGCTACTAGCAAAATTCAGTTCTCTCAAACGAAATTTTAAGCATAATCAAATAACTACGGTTAAACTCATACAAAGTGGGTAAAAGGAAAAGTAAAGTTCTCTCTCTCTTAAATTCACATAATTGAAATATAAGTCCACACGTGCACAAATAGATCAATGTTATCAATGGTGGAAAGCCAAAATTCTGCCATAAAAACATGCCATTGCAACCTATGACACTGCCATTGTGGGCCACCCTTCACATATTTCCTATGGCAGAGGGGTCAAAAGATGCCATGTTATGGCGTTATCGAAACGCTATAGCAGTTATTTTATAACATTGCACTACATAAAGCAATAAGTTGGCATTTATAAAGTTAAAAGTGAAAATAGAAAACATTTTCTCAAACCTAAAAACTTCTAATTTTGCTGTAGAAAGTCATAACAAGAATGGCTCAAGCATCATGTAACAACTCCATAATCTGCCTTATACTGGAGTTGAAATATGGGTTTAATTTAAACCCACGAGGTTGAAAGTATCAGTTGACACCCATTGGAATCTAGTTTTTCCATTGCTGCTCATCTGCGTATTAATTATTTCCTAATGTGAAACAGCATCTATGAAAGTTTAACTATAACCTCATTACTAGAAAATGACAAATTCAATGAAGGAGGTCAATCAAAGTTGCTCAAGTTAAAAAAAAATTCATTAACTAACAGCTATGGTATGAAAAGCTTGTTGCAACATAATCAGAAGAAAATATATGCACATCTAGTATTGAATTCAAGATTGGTATTAACCAAAATATAAAAAAGAACGTATGAAGGAAATAGATGACAAACACACTAATGATTCATGTACTAGTCAAGCTTCTCAGAAAATAAGGTAGGAAACATTGATTATGAGTGATGGAAACATTCGAAACCTACTATCATCCAATTAAATTTATTAATTGAAAGTAAAGAACATGGGGAGATTAATAAACAGTTGCCAAGTGCCACACCCTACAGATAGTAACAAGCATAGGAAAGGGGGAAAAAACTAGTCCTCAGCCACACAGACATGCACATTTACCCATTAAGTATGTTACTTGGAGGTTAAGCACCTACATTGTCAAAGAGTAACGTCAAACCTCTTTGATTAGGATTCTTCGAAAAAAAAACAAGAAACAGTTATGCTTGATTTTAATTTTGAACCAAATTCAAAAACAAAAGTAAAATATTTACACTTAAATCAATGAAAAATATCCAAACCAATCAATGACACATTGCAACAACATAATGGCACCAAATTTATGAAAGTTGTAACCAGAAGCATAAATTAGCAAAACAAAAGATTCAGAAAACGGCATTCACAGTGTTTACTTTTTCTTAAAAGTCCAGGTAAAATAACTGCAAATTCATATAAACTATAAATCTTCATGTTTTTTTCAAAGAACATAATTAAGATGAAAAACACTATACACTACAGAATTGAACCCCTATAATGTCAGCTGGCAATAACAACACATTCATAAAAAGTAGAAGCAATCAGTTCTAAGATAAAAAGAAAGAGCCAAATCTGCCTTCTATGCTATAGCAGATCAGTCCATTAACATAGGAAAACAACAACCCCATTTCCATCAAAAACAAAAAGAAACAAACAAACAAACAACAACAAACCCACATCAAAGAGTCCATTACAACAAAGTGAGTTTCACGTCACTGAAAGGAAATGAAAGACTTGAAATTGACTCAACCAAGACCACAAGGCAACCCCCAAATGAATGAGAAATGAATACCATTTCTGAGAGAGATCGGATCAAAAACTCAGCTTGCAACCGGATCTACTGCTACCACGTCCAACGGCTACTCCCCCAATCAAAATGAAAGATCTTGCCACTTCCCCTCCACGCTTTCCACCACAACTTTCACAAAAATACGTGCTTTCCAACACCAAATGCAGAAAAAACAAAAGGGTATATCTATATATAAATAATATATGAACTGAAAGACAATGTGGAGAAAAAAAACCGAGAGAAGCTTAAAACCCTTCAACAAGACCAAAACTTTTGAAGAAGATAATAAGCCCCTGGTCTTCTGCTGCCACTGGTTCAACGGCAGACCTTGCTTTCGTTACGGGTTTTATTTATGTTATGAGTGTTGTTCTGTTGTGTTGTGTACGCTCTGTGTTACAGTATTTTCCTTTTTTTTTATTCTTGACTCTAAGGGAAAATAGTTTAATGGAAGTTTATTGGGTAAAAAAATAAGGACGATGATTATGATGATGCGGTGACAATTGGATATAGCAGCACTGCATCGTAGTTTAAGCTCAGTTTAGGTAAAATGAAATGAAACGCTTCCTTATGTCGGTGGAATTCCATAAATGCCCCTGAGTGTTGGAATGAATTACGGTACCTTTTCATTTGAAGACAAACGTTGTCAAAGATGTTGCATTAAAAATCAAAATATTTGAGGCGCCTATCGCGGTCGCCAACATCTTCGGATGCTGCTCTACTGGCCTCAATCCTCTCCTTTTGTCCTTACTTGCATGCATTTTCTTTTCTTTTCTCCTTTTCTTCTTCGGGTAGTCAATTTTTCAAATTTAGTTTAATCAAATTAATTTTGTTACTATTAATTACATCGAGTTAAAATTATATGCTTTTGATGGATAAGGTTCAGC